ATTTGCACTGTCCTCCCGTTGTTCATCGATTTGCTTAAGTGGGCTCAGGAATGTCTCCATTGTGAGACTTGTTACTGTGTTTGGGATATCAAATACGTTATAGGTAGCTTGCCAGGCTTTGCCGGGCTCCTGAGAGGGTCGGAGGAATCGAACCTGGCTCAGCCCGGCCGGCAGCTTGCAAGGCAAACACCCTACCACTGTGCTATCGCTCCAGTATTACTATGAGATTACTATGAGATGATTCAGATCATCTCAAGTAGTAGTATACATTGGGGCAACTGGCAAATGTAAAGGCCTGGCGTTGGGATGGAGAGATAACCAGGCTTTAGGGCACATGCCTTGCAGATGCCCAGCTGGGTTCAATCCTAATACCAACTGACCTCCCAAATATAGTCATGTGTGGCTCAGGGGGTTCCCCATGCACTATTGATGTGGTCTTGGTAGTCTCAGAACACTATAGGTCTGGAGAAGCAATGCAATTTCAGGTCCTAGCACTGAGCAGTGGCCTGGTTGGCCAGGAGTGTCCCTGGAGCCTCCTGGTACCTCTTGAGAGGTTCCTCCACATACAATAAATGAAATTTAAAAACTCAACACTGTTTTCTTCCTGCTTAAATCATGGTCTCAGCTTTTGACATGGAAACCGGAACCTGCATCACTGGGATGCATGATTAGCAGCTACAGCTGTAGCCCAGAAGCTGGGGTGTTTTCTGAGTCCAGAAAAATCACCTGGAGCTTTCAGGGAGCTCTAGGCTCTGAAGCTCTATCTATCCACCAGCAGTGAATTCCAACTGAAAGGTGAATATCATGTTTGATAATACAGGAAGGAGGCTTCATGGTAGGTGGAGTATGACTCTTCATAGGAAGAGTGGAGAGGTTTTTGCTCTCACAGCTGTGGGACACCTCAGCAGTGTGGGTACGAGACTGGAGCAAAGAGACATCACCACAGGAGTGACAGACCACACGAACTCTCCTTTTCTTCTCGCCCTTCACTCAAGTTATTCTCAAGACTCAAGAGAAAGGGTAACATGCCACAGCCAATAGTATCCTGTGATGCTTGGCTTGTGGGCAATATGGCCAGTGGTTCTATAGGAACCAGGGCACCCTGCAGTGCCACGGATTAAGCTGGGGGCCTCCAGGGCCAACCTCTACTTGTCTTTAAGGGAGAGTTTGGGTCTGAATACAGCGCAGAAAGATGTCCCATCTGCAAACATCACCATGGAGGTGATTAAGGGGGCAGCATGGAACAGCACCATGTAAGAGGGACAGTCATCAACCAGCATGGGACTATAACAGAGCCAGCACAAACAGGCCTCTTCACATTATCCTGGGGAAGAATCTACCAAAGATCCAAACATCTATCATCTCATTAGGATGATGCTGTTCATGCAAATAAAACATCATAATATTAATAATATTACCACAGCCACAAAACTTAGTGTTTACTGCTTGGTAATATTCTATATTACATAGAGAACAATTTTTCTAAAATATGCTCTTTACAGAGTGGACAATGGGGAATGCTGGAATTATGTGTGGGTAAAAACTAGTCTCTGGTGAAATCGGGGTGTATGGGGGGGAGGGCAGCTTAGAGAGGTAGATTTCCAATGAAACAGGACCCTGTGTAACTTTTTGCTAAAATGGGGACAGTGGATCAAATACATTGGGGAGTCTCTGCTAATTGTTATTATACTATCACCATAGAAGTATCTTATTATCATAAATTGTTATAAAAATATTATTTTCTCTGTATCCATCTATGTGAGCAAAATTCTTTCCCTAAATGTCTTCTTCAATTCTCTGGATACTAAGCTGCTGTAATGAAGCTTGTGAGAATGTGTTGATGGGAAAAGTAAAATGAGGAAGGGTTTAAAGCAGTTTCTTAGAAATAAAATGTAAGATCTTCAAGATATGCCAATACCATGTTAAGCTTGCTCAGGATTTTTAAAAACAGCTTCTGGATTCCCAACTGTGTCCTAGATAGTTAAAAGTGCAAAATTAGGGGCCATTTGGTAAATGGAATGAAACTGCATTGTTTTCTTACTGGCTTCTCCACAATTAAAAGCTTTTAATTAATAGTAAAACAGGGCTTAAGAGTCTAAGGAATTGTCAAAATAAAACTAGAGGGACTTCCTGGGTTGCCTATTCTATTTTGCCAAGTAAGGACATTTTTAAAACCATGAACAAAGACAATGCACAAGATATAATAATTTTTTAAAAAGTCCTTGTAAAGGACCAACTCCTGAACAATATACAGCATAATAAAATAAAATAAACATTAACATCAAAATAATAGAAAGTAGCTATTTCAAGAGTAAAAGATGATACTGCTTTTGTTTTGATTGGAACCTTGTTTGAGGAACCAGTCTCAGAGGTGCTCAGGGCTTACTCCTGGCTCTGTGCTCAGGGATCACTCCTGGCATTGCCTTAGGGGACCATATACTATGTTAGGGATCAAATTGCATCAAGCACAAGCAACAAAAAAAGCCTTATTCTCTGTACTTTCTCTATGGCCAAAAGATGGTCCTTTAAGCATGATCATTTTAGTTTTGTGAAGAATTCTTTATGACTCTCATTTCCCTCATGTCATCCTGAATAGGTTGTAACTTCTCACAGTCTGGCATCTGGTTTAGAACCATTTTTCTCCCACAATAAGTCCATGGTTTGGGTATCTGTTTAGAGGACATCGGCCTGAAAGAAACCTCCAGACATGGACCTAATAAAAGTTGATGAACTCCAGGAATGGAATCAGACAGTGAAATCTGGGTAGGGAAGAGGGTCTGTGGGTCCTCAAAGGGGAATGTGTCAGCTGTATTAGGTACCTACAAAGCAGCTTGCCACTCCCAAGCTTCCTTCCTACCATGATGTGTTTCTGAAAGTCAGAACTCCTAAAAATTCTCTTTTTAAGGAGACAAAGTGCCAAGTCGGGTTTGGTCCATGGAGTAAATTTCCATTTTTCCTGGCCCCAGAAATGCTGTGTCTGTCAGTAATTTTCATTCTTGGGTCACAGTTCCCAGGGGAGTAGAAGAAAGGCCAACTATAAGAGAAAAGCTTTCAGTATGTTTCTTCAGGCTCTGGATATGCTCCTGGACTCCTCTATAAACAGAATGGCTGCCCCACTGCAGCCTTCCAGATGCAATTCCCACATTCAGCAATGGCGCGGGAGCCCGGCAAGGAGAACTGCTCGGGGCCCAGCTCCAGAGACAAAACTTAGAGGTTATTGTGCCCCTGAGGAAAAAGGAGGCATTCTTTGTTAGAAAATTAACAATGAAGTAAGCCAGAAGAAGAAGGATAAATACAGGATGATATCATTTATATATGGTATTTAGAGTAACAAGATGAGGAAAGGGTTTAAAGGAGGGATGCCCTGATCACCCTTGGTCCAAAAATATAGGGAGGAGAAGGAAAGACAGTGATGTGGGGTGTGGGGGAGCTGGAAGAGAAGAGACAGATGGAGAAGCAACAGGAGGTGAGGGCCAAGGTATATTGGTGATGTTAAGAAATATCAGAGCTAACTATCACAGAGTCAACTACAGAGTCAACTACACTGAAATCATGAGACCCAAACTTTAAGGACCAAACTTTAAAAGGTGCCTGTCAAGACGGCAGAATAAGGGTGGGGTTGAGGAGATCCAACCCGGAAACACTGGTGGAGAGAAGTTGACACTGGTGGCGGGATCAGTGGTGAAATACAATATGTCTAAAACTCAACAATGAATAACCTTGTAAATCCATGTTGCTTTAATAAAATAAAATTTAGGAAAAGACATTTAATTAAAAAAAAAGAAGAAGCAAGAGTGAGAGTACAGTAGGTAGGGCACTTGTTTTGCATGTAGCCAACCCAGGTTTGATCCCGTGACATCCCATATGGTCCCTGGAGCACTATCAGAAGTGATCTGTAAATGAAGAGCCACGAGTAAGCCCTGAGAATTACTGAGTGTGAACCAAAAACAAAAACAAAAAAAAAAAAAAAAGAAAAGAACAAGTGGCAGAGGACTCTACCTCAGGAGACGGCTGAGTTAATGTTTCTTTTAATAAAACCGATGACTCCCAAATAACTTTGAGTAACCTCCCAATCTACTGTTTTTATTTTCCATCAGTTGGAAGACCCAAAGAGAGAAAGGTTAAATTCATTACCACTTCTTCCAGAAGATTTGTCATTCTTCTGACCTAAAATAATTTCCTTATTTTCATAAATATATGAGAGTTAATTGCCAATTTGCATTTTTGTTGGAGCAGTCAGATCTCAAGATGGGAACATAAGTTCTTTATTTCAAGAAAAGTAAAAGAAGGGGAACTTGTCAAGCTCATTTGCCTCTACCAAAATGTTTCAATGTAACAAGCTTTACTACTTTTCTAGTATCCTCTTCAGAAATATCTGAGAACAGAAGTTCCCACTGGGGTTTGGACTCTTTTATGTGATTACAGTTGTTATGTGGGAGGATTTACTGACCACCCAATTTCCCAGACTTTTCACACTATTCTTAAAAGGGTCATTGAATTTTAATTTTGCCTGATGTGGCTGGTCGTAGCCAAACTCGATGCCAGCACCTTTCGTAAGCTGGTAACTATAAATTAACACTCTTAATTTTCATGGAGTCTCCTGGTTATGGCTCTTTGGGAAATTTCTTCTGGACCCTTTGACCCAAATCCTCTCGCATTATTAATTTTAATGTCTCAGGAACATCATCTGCTTCTACTGAAATAAATTCCAGGACCTCCATGGAGGAACAGTTAGGGGAATGCTGTCTGAAAACAGTCATGTCTCTTTGAGGCTTAATCATTTGTGTTTTGCTGTGACCCTAAAATCTGCAGCGCCTTACAACTTGCCCCTGCTGCGTCATTTGCTTCTTCAGCAAAGACAAGCAGCCACTAGCGGTTGTTGGAAGAAGAGGCTTCTCCCAACACGAGTTGCACTGAGAAAAACGTTTTCTCATGCTGTTTTCACAGCTGACAGCAGAGCTCTGCCCCCACTTTGAAGAGAGGAGATGTCGGAGCCATACCTTATACCCAGGTTTCCGTCCTCTTTTCTTTGGGATCTTCGCAGCTGGTAAAGAACCAGCTGATGAAGAGTAAAGGTTATGAACTGGCACTTTCATGGGTGTTGCGTGAAGAGGCGGCCGACCTCGTTTTCTTCCAGGGATCCTCTGAGACTGCATTTCTGCCGGGGCCAGTCTTGCAGAAGGAAGTGACAAATATCTCACAAGTAGAAGAGGTGCTGAGAATTAGTCCAGACACAAAGCAAAACAAAAACACAAGTGTTTGTTTGGTTTGCAAGGCAAACATGGAATTGGGTTGGTGATTTGGGCCATAGCTACCTCCAAGTAGAAGGGGAGACCAAATAGCTGGCCAAAGAGCTTTGTCACTGCTGTTGGGGTCCTGGCATAATTTCTAGAAGAGTAAGTTCCCTAAGGCTCTCTTGAAGAAACGCAGTCTATACTGGCTGGGTGGAGAGCATAGTAGATTCCCAATTCCAAACACAACATATGGTGTCCTTAGCAAGAAACAACTTGGGCTTGATGTTAGGTCCCCCAGTTAATTCATCTTTGGCCCTATAACAACAGTGTTGAATAAACACAACTATTGTCACTCCTATTTATTTGGGTTATAAATTCTTATGGTTTTGCCTGTGAAAAAAAATTAGCAGTAAAAATCAAGTGTATCCAAGCTAATTATGCACCTGATTAAAATGCAGATAGATTTACATACAGACATGTCATTTGGACACATTTAGAATTGCAAAACTTAAATGGATACAATCCAAATAGCAAACATAGTAGAAGAGTTAATAGATCTATGGATAATAAAATAATCGAGTATAAGAAGCTTTTAACAATACTCTTAAATTTTTGAGGTTAAATTTTTAAAAAATCACACCAATTACAAATAAAAATGATCTCAACTACATGAAAATGTTTATGGTGGGAAGAGTGGAAAGAGCTGCTGGTCATGTACAAATCCTTTCTCCCAAGAAAATACTTTGCACACTTACATTTAAAATGCTGAGGATAAGTTTCTCCAGGAGAGTTGCCTAACTCTTGTAGCAATACCTAGTTGATGGATCACGACCCAGAGCACAGAGAGGTATTATGAACTCAGAAGATTCAGGATTGTGACAAGTGGGGCAGAGATTTCCACTTTAACTTAGTGAAGTTAGGTGAGGAGATTGGTTTTTTTTTTTTGCTTGTTGGGTTACACTCATCAATGCTCAGGGGTTTCTCCTGGCTTTGTACTCAGGAATCGCTCCTGATGGTGCTTGGGATGCTGGGAATTGAATGAACCCAGGTTGGCTATGTGCAAGGCATGTGCCCTACCCACTGTACTATCACTCCAGTTCTGAGATTCATTTTTAAGACTTAGTGGAGCCTATCAATGAAAGTAAGAAATTGTTGCTTTAAAAGGCTGCAGAAATAACTGAGTAAAATTATGGACACTTCATCTGTATCCTGATCTGAACAGCACTGCAGGGACCAGATTGCTTCACTCAGGACGGAAAATAACAGAGAAGAAATTCTTAAAATCCTAACGTTTGGGGGGCATCTTTTGCAGACACAAGTTTGATTTGTTAACGATCTCAATAGTAAGTGTTCTATCAGTAATCTTCATGTTCTTAGAAATATCATGCTAAACAAAAACAATTTTAAAGGATACGTAACTGTATTGTCAAGTTATTTCAGATAGATAAGCTACTGAAGTTCTAGTTTCCTCATTTTGTTAAAGTAAACTACTGGAGCTGGAGATAGAATTCAGTTATAGAGTGAATATTTTGCAAGTATGAAGTCCTGGATTTGTTTCACCAGCACCATAAGACAAATAGACAAAACAAAAAAAAGAGAAAAACTATGTCTCATTGATCAAAGTCAATGCGCACTAAAAACTACTCTGTAAACCCATTGGATTTGCACGAGTGTACTTTTCCCCTCTGGATGGTATCTGAAATTATAGTATGTTAATAGAATTGAACGACATCTTAGAGTCAATGAATCATGATCAATAAACATAAATCCAAGAACCATCCAATTTTTTCTAGTAAAAATTGTATTGTGAAACTTCGTCTGAGTTTTATTGAGTTTTATTTTAAACTATCCTGATCAAGATGCTCCTTCTTTGTTATTAGTTTATAGACAACAAACAGAAAACAGTCCTAGTCTTGAACATTATCTTTCCCACCAAAAATAATGAAGAAAGTTGTCTCAAAGTTAAGGTAAGAATGCATCTCAGCTTCTATCAAACTTACCCCATTCTGAGTTCAGTTCTGCTATCCTTACTTTTCTCAGCTACCTCCTATCCCACCCCAGTTTTGGCAGGCATTAACTGATGGTTTGTAGGAAGTTCTCATTGTTTCAGGCAAAGTGATTTAAGCACATTCCTGGGGCCTGGCTATATTTTGTCCATCACTCTAGTTCACCATTGTACCACAGAGTGCACCTGGCACCTGTGACAGAGGCGCCCATAAAATCCAGTTTCTGTCCTAGACATAAGGTTCATAGCTGCCCACAGACACACAATTTTATGGTTTATAACTCATTGAGAGAAATACATCAACACAACAGAACATTTGGAGGTCAGTGAAACCTTCATACCATAAGAAGAATAGGGATAGCAAAATAATTTGATAAATGGGAGGAAAGTTAATTTCTTTAACAGACATTTCCCTCAATTCTAACTCCAAAATTGGGCCAATAAAAGCCAAATACAACACTCAAAAACCCTCACTCCTGAGTACTCACTTGTGTGCTCACATTTTGTTCTCTGATCCTATTCTCCACCCTGAATGAAACCAGGACTCTTTAGAATTTATTTTATATCTTGGGGCTACAGAAAGGTCAGAACTAGCTTGAACTATCTTATCAGAAGAAAAAAATTATTATAAGAGGACAAAAAAGCAAGATTTAATAATATACAAACCAATAACTATAGTGATATAAAGAATTAGAATAACTGGGAAAAATGAGAGTTTTATAATAGAAGACAAAGATCACCAACCTCTAGCTTTACTACCCTACATTGATGAATAGAACAATATATTGTTCATTGTTATTGTTAATAGGTATGAGAGAGCTTTATATGTAAGCATTTTGTTCCATTAATTAAGCACAGCTATATGCCTTCCTTTCTACCTATGAAATAGATCTATATGGCTGCAAGTAAATTGTAAATAAGTCAGCCTGTCCTGGGAAAATAGAAAGTGATCCAGAAATAAGAAGGACCTTTATCCACTTATCCCATATAGCAACCACATGGATAGCAGGCTCAATGACATTTTTAAAGGTGATGAATCTGCCAAAGATCTTTAGAGAAATTGCATTTTTTCAGCCAGAAGGAATAGCACAGTGGCTTAGAGCTTCTGCTCTGCAAGTGCATGCCATGAGTTCCAACCCCCGGTGTCCCATGTGACCAAGCATGATCCTGACAGCTCTGCTCTATGCAATCCTTGGTGCCAGAAGCCTTTTCCAGCCACATTACATGTCGAGCCTACTTTCCATGTGTGAGCACATCTGAGCTCAATGTCTTGAGAGCACTGCAACTAAGGAAAGATGAACAGGCACCACGGCTAGGAAGCACAATCTCTAGCGAGCATGTGCGTATGCAGGGATAACCCCTACCCTTAACCCAAGCCCCACTAATGAGCAGCACAAGCCTCAATTGTGACCTCAAGTAAAAGTGTGAGCCCTGGTGAGCATGCCTGCAAGAAACACAAATTAAGGAAATGCAAAACCTCTGTGAGCAGCATACCATCACCACCAATGAAGGGAGGGGGAGGGCAGGAATTTAAAAAATTAAAAATTAGAGTTAGTGGGGTTGGAGTGATAGCACAGTGAGTAGGGCTTTTGCCTTGCTCGTGGCTGACCTGGGTTTGATTTCCAGCACCCCATATGGTCCCCCGAGCACTGCCAGGAGTAATTCCTGAGTGCATGAGTCAGGAGTAACCCCTGTGCATTGCTGGGTGTGACCCAAAAGCAAAAAAAAAAAAATTAGAGTTAGTGATTTGTTTAGACTGGTCTCTCAACCCCCGGGGTGAAGCTTCCAACTGCCTCATAAGTATATAGAGACCTCCTGGTTTTAGAGTTGGAAAGTCTGCTAAAGGGGGAGGGTGGTACAGAGGATTTTCTGCCTCCTTCATCACATGATTTAGGGAAGGCTCTAAACCTGTTCAAGCCAGTATCCCCTGGGTTGACAGTGTCAGAGCCTCCCTCCCGTGAATATTGGGATTTTCCTTTATTCTCTAAGGGTTCAGCTTCCTTTATTCTCTAAGAGTGACAGAGACCCAAGCTCACATATTTAAGAGGAAGGAGGAAAGATGAAAAAGGCTAGAACTGAGAAGAAACACAACGAAATGGGACGCTCACTCCAAGCAGCGAAATTTGGAAAGCTGTGAAGCATTTGCAAGAGTGACTGACAGGCATGTACAGAGGATGAGAGATTTCCTGGCTGGGTAACTGCTCAGCAGAAGAGTATATTTACCTGTTTTCTGGGACCCACTGGATATATGCATAAAACATCTCTCATCATGTTATGCAAAAATTTGAGAGCAATTGTCTCTCAGGGGAAGGGAGGGACTGGAGAGGGAAAGGAACTCTGCCCTGCACACTGTTTTCTGCCTTTTGAATCATGCATGCATTCAAAAGATGAAAATAGACACAAATATCATTGGTCTATAATCTTTGACTCCAGAGAAGAATGAGCAACTGTCCACCATCTACAGCTTTGATCAACCAGGTCAACTGCACCAGCTTGCAAGAGGTACGTGGATCTTGGACAGAGCACCCTGAAAGGCTGCTCATTGCATTCCAATAACTGGGTGCCACCCTCATCACACCCTAAGGTTATGCATTTGCAAGGTGCAGGACATAGGCAGTATCAGTGATGATTTGACGGACCAGACCAATTGCATCTCAGGTGCACAGGAGTTGTAGTATTAGGGATGAGTGAAAGGATTGGAGGTGGGGTGGGGGAGCAGGGGGACTGGCTTGTGATCTTGCTCTACTTCTAATTGACTGATAAATAGAGATTGGTCTTCTCATATCTCTAGGCATCTACCCAGCTCTGTACCCATCTCAGTCTCTAAACACTCTGTTGAGTGGAACTCTCAGATAAAGAGGCAAAAGCTCTTATTCCATCTGTCTCTTACTTCAACAGTCAGCAAAAGCACCTGTTGGATTATAGTTCTAAGTATTTTAGGTTTAACATCGGGTTGTCCTTGCTTCTCCCATAGGG